CACATTCAAATTACCAATTGAAACTGGGTGTTACAAAATGATGTAAAGGGATCTTCAGTGGGCGTGGGGCGATGTGGCGGCCAATAGCAATCTGTCTTTGGACACAGTAACGTTAGCAAAATGGTAAACACTAGCAAATTGAGGACCATAGATTTGTCCATGTCTGAGGATGCTTTTTGTTCGCATAAAACGAAGGAGGAGAGAAGTTGATTTTAGCTATGGGATTAGTAGATTGTTGCTCCACAATTTATATATGTTTTTAGTGATGAAATTAATTTTTATAGTTAGGAATGTATCATTCCCTTTGTGTGAAATATATTTAGTGGTTTGGTTTGTGTTAGGTCTAAATAGGTTTATATATGTAGCCAATTCTTGTAGTATGAGCAATATTCTGAGATATTCGGTGGTGTTAATTTAATGTATCATTCATAACAAATGGATGATTGTGGCAAATTATTTTTTACCGGTACAAAAGGAATCCCGATCGCGAGCCAGATTCTTCAAAAAAGGTAATTCAAAATGTAGGGTCGATGTCGATTGCACATAAATAAAATTCTAAACATTATAATTATGGTGATAAAAGAAGATATTTAATAACTATAGAAAACTGAAAAAACAAAAAATAACAAGAAAATAAACCGAGAAACAAAATAAGATGTAGGATTTTAAAAATAATTTTATCAAATCTTAAAATCTACGTCACACGCATTATTGTTTGTTCTAAAACTGGGGCTATCCTTCAAACACTTTTCATAACAAGGAAGTAAACATAAATGAATAGATAAATATATATATATATATATATAAATATATATATATATATATAGAGGTTCGTCTCCGATAACTTTCTTAAGACAACTTCGAACGTACACAAACAAGTATTTTAGCCAGTGAATCTATACATGATATAGTTTCGAACATGCTTCTCCATTTGAACCTAGATCAAAAACCCTATATTCTTCCGGTTTTCTATGATATTTATCTAGACGAGAGATAGTGATCAAACAATTAGTAATGGAACCCAAACGACTAAAATCTATATCTTACATATATATATATATATATAATTGCTAGCCAAACATTTAATAAAACCTCAAAACTTTTCCCTTAAAAGACGTTACTTTGGATTAATTAATTTATATTTTGTATTTATTTATTATATAATAACTACTACTAACAAATCATAAAGTCACACTAAATGATATTAGAATTATTTTTTTAGCTATTTATTTAAATTATTATTTTTTTGTTTTAAATTAAGCAAGTTTTTTTTATTAACATTAGCTATTTAATTTTTATGATATAACCAAACTTTATAAAATTTTGTACACAATTGCTATAATAATATGTCAATATTGTTTTATCTAATCAATTGTTCATAATAAAAAAAGATCGCAAAAGTTATATAACTGCAATCAATATAAATATTAATATATAAGTTAGTCTATGTTTATTCGTTCATTTTTACTAATGATAAAATTTATAAATTGTGATATGATCATTATCTAACTTATGGTTTAAATATTACATATACCTACATATAACATACTCCCTCCTATTTTTATTATTTCTCGTTGTGAGAAGCAACACGCTAATTGAGTATATTTTTTCTTGCCAATATTAACCCTATTTAATGAATGCTTTGAGAAACGATAGAGATGGAATATGAAGAGACATTGTGTATTAGATGAAGGGTTAGAAACAGAAAAATATGAACAAAATAGTCAAAACGACATTTATTTAATCAATGATCGATTAAGTCAGAGTGACAAATAATAAAAATATGAGAGGGTATAAAATTTTATTTGTATGTGTGCATGTGTATACAGGATTGAATGCTAGTGGGTGATAATATTCACACATTCTAACATAAATTCAAACAAGATTTGAAATCACTGCCTGGTTGATAAATTATTTCATGATTAGATTAAATTTATCTTCATCAAATAAAAGAAATTATAATTTAATAAAAAAATTAAACGATAAATAAAAACTTACAATCAACTAAAAATTTAGGAGATTTCAATTCCAACATGCATTATTTAAAAAAACAAAACTAGAGAAAGTTTTCAAGATTCAAAGCATAAGATATTTTATAATTAAAAAAAAAAAAAGAAACTTTTTATATTGGATCAATATTTATTTATCAATTTCATTTAATTATACCATTAATCACCCTGTCTGTCTAGGACTCTACGCAGCAAAGGTGTAATTCAGCCAATTCTATTTCGCAAATACTCTTTTTAACGGATAAATTCGTATAAATTGCATTTACTCAAAAACGGAATACATATCTCGGCGCATATGACTGATTCGTTCTGAAGATTTTTCGGCCTAAATTTCATGTAATTCATCTCTCTCTCTCTCTCTCTCTCTCTCTCTTTCCACCCGTTAGGGCATTTGATTTGATGCTCGCGCACGTTATATTATTTGATTAATGATTTTGTGGTCCTGGCGTTGCAGTACGAACTCAATTATTTTTTTTCACTGCTGTAAGGAACTAGGATATGAATTTGTAACCGTGTTTTTTCGCTTAATTTGTTGCTTTCCTTTTCACTGGGTGTGTGTTTGTATGTGAAGTATTGATTTGATACTGATTGATTTGATACTGAGAAGAAGGGGAATTATAATTTTATGTGCAAGTGATAATCAGAATTACCTTTTGTTCTTGTGTACATGTTTATGTTTATTCTGTTATTCATTTATTGATTCTGTTTATTAGGGTTGTGGGGAGTGTTGTTATAATCTATTTGAATGAATGTGCAATTTTATTTGTCTGCTCGATGTTTATTGTTTATTGTTTATTGTTTTTCTTCTCATGTTTATTGTTTTTCTTTTTTCGCCTTATTTTCAGAATTGGATTCTTACGACTTGGCTATGGGATTCAATAAAGTGTACAGGTCACTGCAGGAACTTTTCCCTCAGGTAATTTTGAGGCCTTTTCAATCACATTTTTGAGTCGATAACTCGACATATCTGCAGCCTGTACTTATTTGAAAGCTTGGGATGATTGAAAATCCATTTTAAATATGGTGCCCTAGTGTGAATTTATTGACAATGACCTTAAATAATCAAGTATATTGGATAGAATAATTTGCTGGTTTTGTTTTGCTATATTCATGAAGTGATTACTCTCTGTATGATCTATATCACTTCCTGATTGAATAGATTGATGCTCGAGTTCTAAGAGCTGTTGCTATTGAGCACAGCAAGGATGTTGATGCTGCTGCTGAGGCAGTGCTTATGGAGATCATCCCTTTCCTCACAGAAAGATCTCGATCAACTACACCTTTGGCTAGGAGCATATCTGAAAGCCAATCATCTCAAGGTGACTGTTTTTTTTTTTTTTCTTTTAAATTATTGTTGTTGTTGTAAATAAAATGTTCAAATTAGTGTCAGTTTCATGATGAATTAGGATGTCCATTGGTCCTTTTTCAACATCCTCTTTCCTGTTAGATGCCACAGCTACTACTCAGACTGTGAATATCCCACTCATGAATGTGTTATTATTGTAAACTAGTATGTGGCCCGTGTGATGCACGGGTAAATAATATTAAATAATAATTATAAATTGAAGATATAGGTAAACAATATGTATTTGTTTAGGATTTTGAGTGCCACTTTGAGATTTTTTAAGATTTGAGACTTTTAAGATGGTCAAATTTTAGAGGAATACTATGAAATCTTAAGTGTGAATGTGAGATTTTTAGAGTGAAATTTTGTATAATGTTTTTTTCTTTTATATCATAACTAATCTTAAAAAGACCTAACAAATCTTGATCTCAAATAAGTTAAATATTTAAGGAAATTTTAAGATTTTTTTAATTTTTAAATATCAAAGATGAACCGCTTTTATTTTAAAAAATGTGGACACAATTTTGAATGTACATCCCGTCCAAATATCAGTTTTATTCTAAAATAGAAATTGCACGTGGTTTTATCCAATTTATACACTTTTTTATTTGAAAAAAAAAATTATTCAATAAGATTGGAAGAATTGGTTAACAATTATACAACTATTTGTTTCCAAAATTTGTATCCAATTTGTACGGTTTTTAAGTTAATTTGTATTTAGAATTGTTTTCATAAATAATTGACACATTTTTTGCATAAGAATCTACAAATTTGTTACCAAAAAATATATGATTTAAATTTTGGTAAAAAAAATAAAATATGATACGAAAAAAATGGGATTCAAATTTTGCCATAAGAATCTCCAAATTAGTTACCAAAAAAATAGGATTCAGATTTTGTTATTAAAAATTCACATGTATTTTTTTGAACTTTCCATTAAGTAAGTCAAACATTATATTTATTTGATCAAACTTTCTATTAATATATTTTTCCAACAACCTCTTTATATAGATATAGATATAGATAAAATATTCTAATTAGTATCAGTTTCATGATGAATTGGGATGTCCGTTGGTCCTTCGTTTTTAACATCTCTTTATTATTAGATGCCACAGCTACTACTCAGACTGTGAATATCCCACCCATGAATGCATTAGGTTCAGCTGATGGAAAGAACGGCGACAATGTGTCTGGTGGACATAAGCTGGGTTGGTACCATGAAGCTGATAATGGGCACAATGGACCAACTACACCTTTGACTGAGAGCATATCTGAAAGCCAATCATCTCAAGGTGACTGTTTTTTATTATTATAAATAAAATGTTCAAATTAGTGTCAGTTTCATGATGAATTGGGATGTCCATTGGTCCTTTTTTAACATCTCTGTCTTGTTAGATGCCACAGCTACTACTCAGACTGTGAATATCCCACCCATGAATGCATTAGGTTCAGCTGATGGGAAAGAGGGTAACAATATGAATGGTGGACATAAGCTGGGTTGGTACCATGGAGCTTATAATGGGAACAATGGACCATTCATGGGTACATCTCCAGGGCATCTTGGTCAACAGAGTAGTACTGTGGGATTCATATTGTCCGGGCAGAATCTTGGAAACTCTCATGATGAAAATGTTGAGTCGGTTGATAAAGATGAAGCACTTTCTGGCATGAAATGCGGAGTGGAGATTCCATTTGATGGTTTTCCTTGTAAGACATCTATTACTTTGCAAGCTGAGAATATTGGAGCTGATCAAAACAAGAATCTCGCCCAAGACAAGGTGGACTGTATCCACTTAGAGACGATGCTAGAAGCTGCCAGTGATCAGGAGAAATCTTCGGCAGATGGACATAATTCTTTTTCTGGGCAGTCTTCATCGTCTTTGCATGATCTGAAAACATGCCCAATGGAAAACATTGTCCAGTTGGCAGTAGTGCAGGATGTACAAGGAAGTCATCTAGAGGAATCCAAAAAATGTTTGCCAGTTAATACTTCCTCCGAGATGGAAATTTCAAGCCACATTGTCGACATTGAAGATGAGTCTAAACTTAATGCCTCCATGTCCCAGTCCAGCCAAATTCATATGATGGGCATGCTCGAGGGAATCATTGCTAGTGCGACAAATAATAAGGTGTTCTTTTCTACAGAATTCAATTTTTATCATCTATCAGTTATTCGTCATGAATAAGTGTAATGCGACTTATATTAAATTAAATCAGTTTAGCTGGTCTTTAGTAATTAATGATTCATTACAGTTTATAAGAATATGTTTTGAGGGGGAATTTGACTGAAGAAAGAATATATAATAAAAGAATTTGGTGGACTTCTTAAAAATGTGTGTGCATGTGGTAACTAGGTCTAATAGTGGTAAAGTGGTGCAGGAAACGTTGTTCTCAGGGATGCAGTCTATCATTAGCTTGATGAGGGAAGTGGAACTTAAAGAGAAAGCTGCAGAACAAGCTAAATTGGAAGCCGCTATGGGCCGTGCTGATTTACTGGCCAAGTTGGAAGAGCTTAAGAAAACAGTGCAACTTACGAAGGAGTTAAATAGCATGGTAATATTTTTACTTATAGTGTCCCATCACCCTAATGGATCCACATGACTTTGCTCGTATCATTATCTTATTTTATTCTCTCTCTCTCTCTCTCTCTCTGTCCTGTTCTTTTGCAGCATGCTGGCGAAGTTTATGGTGAGAAGGCCATTCTAGCAACAGAATTGAGAGAGCTTCAGTCTCATGTGCTCTCCCTGTCTGATGAAAGAGATAAATCTCTTGCTGTTCTCAATCAGGTGATTTTAAACTTTACCCCTTTTTATCAGAAGACACTCTTATAGTACTCGTTGCATATATGTCTTGGAAAAACTGGGCATCCGATTATTTCATATTAGACATTTGTTTGCATAACTGGAAAATTGTGGTTTCTGTTCCTTCTTTCCAACAATTCCATGAATATTTTTTTATTTTTTATTTTTCTCTTACCTTCATTTTTTGGTTTTAGAAATATAATGGTAAATGGAAAATGTATTTGTCCTGATCTTGTTTGTATAATTTCAGCTGTACTTCATGGGCATAATTAGAAATTCTATGCAGATGCGTCAAACTTTGGAGGTACGGCTAGCTGCAGCTGAGAATGAAATAAAATCTGCGGAGAAAGAAAAATTAGAAAAAGAAAAGGCTGCAATGAAGGCCCTTGCTGAAGAGGAGTTGATTATGGAAAAATTGGTGCAAGAGTCAAAGATCCTGAAACAACAGGGCGACGAAAATGCTAAGGTAATTTCTCCTCCATTTATTCGCAACCTATTCATTTTGTTTGATATTTAGCCATTCAATGACAGATGTAATTTATATTTTAAGAAGTTGATTGCCTGTATTTATTTTGCACCTACCTTGCTTTCTTTACTCCATTATATTTTGCTGCTGAAGTTGTTTTATTATAGGTCCACTAAATATGTTCTTGTTATGTTGCAGTTGCAGGAATATCTCATGGATCGTGGTTGTGTTGTCGATATGCTGAAGTAAGTTCTATTACATTTCCGACTTTTCAAGTGTTGTATGTTTTAAAAAGGCAAACAGTCGAATTGAATAAGATCTGCACTTTATTGCTAGCACATACATATATTGTTTTACGTTAGTAATACTTCAGCATATTTCTCTACATTTTTGTCCAATACCCATATGTTTATTTCCATCATGCTCTTTGGGGTTTCTCTTCATAGCAATCTGTCATTCAAAATTCTTCTTGCGTAATAGGTTTCAATTCTATTCCTTGTGAGAAATTGAAAATAATTCAGAAAAGGTTTTCAACAATCCCTTTAGATTCTAATGAATCTAAAACTGCTTCATCTTTTTATATTTCCATTTTTGCATCACAAATAGTGCTGTATAAAGTAATTCCTTTCGACGATCTCCTTTCTTTCTTTTTCTTCTTCTTTTTTACTTTTTAAACCTGTTTTCCAGAGGAGAACTGGCTGTGATATGTCATGATGTAAAACTGCTGAAGGAAAGCTTTGATGAGAATGTCCCGTTTAGCAAATCCCTCTCTTCCAGCCTGACGAGCTGTCTAATAGCTTCCTCCACTTCATCTTCCAAAAGTCTGAATCCCGAGGTTTTAGCGCCAGCTGACACTGACTTATTGGTGGCTGAAACAGAGAGAGATGCTGTTTCTTGTTCTCCCGATCAGCTGTCCAAAGGGGAATTGAAGACTAGAGATGATCGTAAAGCACTCGTGGATGATGGATGGGAATTTTTCGAAGATGGCGATGGTTCTGAATGAGTGCATAATCATATCTCAAGTTAAGTTTGACTGGGAAAACTTGAATTTGCACTTTTCCAGAGTACAGTTTGATAGAGAAATGTTTGAATTTGCAATATATTTCAAGTTTTGATTGCTATGAATTTTAGCTGCTTGATTTTTAGTTCGTTTGTGAGGGGTTTGAGTTTGGTGGATTTATGAACGCCTCGTTATATTTGCCTTTTGTAAATGGTAATAATAAGGTTTGTTTATATTTGGAACTTGAAATAAATTGTGTTGTTGCGTATTTTAACTTGTTTGAAAAACTTTCTGAGATAAAAAATGAATAATTCGGATAGTAATTGGTTGTAAGATTAATATAATAATATGTGATGTGATATTAAACTTAATAAAAAAATGAATGCTACTTGTTATAAATATGTGAGGGAATATGTAGTAAATATAGTAGTGAATTGTGTAGTAATGATCGAGTTCTATTTTAAAAATTAGATTAATATAAATGAGGAAAAAATGAAAAGTAGGTGATTAGGTGCGCGTTTAATTTATACACTTATTTACTATTTATCGCTCCTTTTACCAGTCACTGTCCCTTTTTTTTTACTCTTTTACCCTTAATTCTTTTTCTCTCTCTATCTCTCTAAACTCCCGAACTTTCAACGAGCGATTCGAGCACCAAAAAAAATCTGAAAAAATGTCGAAAAAATCCTAAAGCCTCGGCAAAGCATACTTCTCTAGCAAGGTAAATTATTTTTATTTTACATGGTCAATAATTTTTTTTTAAAAAAAAAATGAATCTACGCCGGCGTCCGGCCGTCGCCTCCGGACGCGCGGCGGCCGTCCGATCATCGATTCCAGACGGCGAAAAAAGCGTCCGGCCCCACTGAACGCACGGCTTTTAATCCGTGCGTGATCGGCGGCCGGACGCCGGAAAAGCGGGGCGAGATCGGGGGCCAGACGGACTGAACCGGACCGGCCCCGCCGGCCGGTCACGAGCCGGCCGGACATATAATAAATTACTAATAATTATAATTAATAATAATAATTTTTAATAATAATTATAATGAAAATTAATTACAATAATAATTATAAATTAGAATTAATTATAATTAATAATAATAATTTGTAATAATAATTATAATTAATTAAAATAATTATTATAAATGACAATAATAATAATTATAATAATAATTATAAATTATAATAATAAAATTTATAAATTTAAATAAAAATGAATTATAATTTATTTTAATAGTTATTACAATAGTTATTACATATGGAAAAATTTAATAATTATATTTCTGATTCAAGGTGTTAGCAGACCTGGACAATCTAATGCCAGGGACGACGACGAGGCGTTCGATGACTATTATGATGGTTCTGGCACCCAACACACTAGAATTCGGGGTGTCAATGCGTCTGTTTGTCGGTACAAACAAACGTTGATCGATGAGGCTCGGAGGATACAGACTCTTCAGGCTAGGCAGAGTTCGAGACCCCCCGCACCAGTACGAGATGGTCCGCAGGGATATCATTTTGAGGGCCAGCCAGATAGTTCGCGACTCCACGAAGTCCTACCGTACGGTGAGCACTATATTATTATCCTGGCCAGGCAGACAGTTCGATGCCCCCGACACCAGGACCGTACGATCAACGGGGATATGCTTTTCCCTGCCACGCAGGGAAGTCGGTACCCCGTGCATGCGCACCATTACCTTACGGTCAGCAGGGGTATCCTGATGAGTCGTACGGCAAGAGGGAGCTGGGTCCAGATGAGTGTGACTCGGACGACTCCTCAGATGATCAGGACCACGCACAGCCTACGGGTCTTAGCCACCCTATTCCTCCTGTACAGCCTGTTCGTCCTGTACAGCCTGTTCTACTGCATGTTCGTCCGGTACAGGCTGTTCGTCATACACAACCTGCTCCTCAACGACAGGCTGGTTTGGTAGCGCTGCATCCTAATCAGGTAAATAATTTACGTATTTATTGTTGTTTAACATAAAGTATTTTTACTTAATCATAACAAATTATCGGTACTGTTTAGAAAAGTATTATCGGCCTGCTCCTCAACAACGGTATAATTATTTTGTAATTTAGAGGAACCCATACAATTAATTAGTAAAAAAATTATTATAATTATTTTTATTATTGTTATAATCAATTAGTAGTAATGTTACATAAGAAATTAGTTTAAAGTTGTCATTATATTTTATTAATGTAAAATATAACGTTTCTACATTAATCGAAAAAAAGAGCGAGAAACTTATGAAATATGTTTCATTAAATATATTTTATTTAATGCATCTGTCAGCAAGTCTATATATATAGATATGTTGTATTGTAATGCAGGTACTAGCAAACGAGCTAGGTCCGATGATGATGCACCTTGGATCGTTAAAGGCCCAGTGACCGGTGGGCCCATTGATGGGAGTGTCATCCCTAGCTTTCTAGGGCACATCGCCTCCCGCATGTGGAATGAAGAGTTTAGGGGGCTGCTGAAATACCACAACAGACTGAGAGCGGTCGAGAATCTGAGGGCTTGACGTGATGAGATGTCTTCCGATGCGAGAGCTCTGATCGACAAGACCGGGCTGTCACATCTAGTCGACTCCATGCACAGCCAGTTGGACACTCCACTCTTTTCTGCGTTTGTGGAGCAATGGCAGCCGGATACTAACTCGTTTCACCTGCCTTTTGGGCGTTCCTGTGGAGGGAGCCGTGGTCGCTGAGGACCCAGATTCAGACGCCTGCCAGGGGCTCTGCATGTCGATACTTTCGGTCACCAAGGCCAAACTCATGATTTCGTTCTGGCAGCGTGGTTCGGTGACCGAAGCCTCCATTGTGGGGGCATTCAGGGGGAAAGGCCGACCGGCTAGGGATGAGGCGGGTGCTTGGATGTGGGTGATGCTGGCTACCACATTTTTTGTCGACAAGAGTGGTAGTAGAGTGACCCCCAAGCTCCTGCACGAGGTGCTCGACGGCTTGGATGTGATTGGGGGTTACTCATGGGGATCGGCTACGCTGGCATACATGTACAGACAGCTAGGTAATGCCAGCCGAGGGGACTCCAGTGGACTTTCGGGCTGCGGGGCTCTTATGTAGTCCTGGATATATGAGTATTTTCCCGATTTCCGACCTGAGGGGCGTCTACCCATCGGTCCTAACTGTGTCGCACGATCTCACTCGTGGAGCGTAGGGAATGCGCGAAGGTCAGACGATCGGCTCACAGCCATCCGTCGGCGCCTCGATAGACTCATTGCCTCCGATGTACGTTAAGTTATTTTATTTGAATTTAGTTACCCTTTATCTAAAATAATATAATTATTTTTATCATTGCTTTTATACAATTGTGAACAGGTGCAATGGTTGCCATACGGCAGCTCCAGCCCAGATGTGATAGAGCCGAGGACTCTTTATTACGGATTGATTCGATACCGCGATGTTGTCGAGCCGTACCTGCCTGTGCGGGTTCTGCGTCAGTTGGGGTATGTCCAGACTGTCCCTCCCCCTACATACCTGCCAATCAGTGCAATACATGCTTGGGAGTCTAGGAACTACAGGGTTGAGCATTCTGAGGCTGTTGCAGTAGGTGCCTGGACCCAGTTCCCGTTGTCTGGGACGGTCAACACCAATATGTTGACCCCCACCACACATGATCGCGGGGAGGCGACTGAGGATTACTTGCAGTGGTACGGTCGGGTTTCTCATCCGACTGTCATGGGCGAGGAGCTTCCGGACGAGAACGAGGTCCCTACGCGTTATGTAAGTTGTTTACTAAATTTTAATTAATGTTATTTCATTACAATAATTTTTTTTATTAAATTTTAGTCTTATCTTTTTATTCTTCCATTTTTTTAGTGCATCGCTTTGGCAGCGGGGATGCGAATGTCCGGTGGCGGCGGAAGTCGAAGAAGAATTAACTAAGTTTAAGTTGGATTACGACAATGCCCAATAATGATGTAATGAATGTTTTTTTTATTGTTATTGTAAAACATTAAGTTGAATGGTTTTTTTTATTTATTATTTGTAAAACATTAAGTTGAATAGTTTATATTAAAAATGAAAAAAAAAAGTACCGTTAATGCGATTTTCGATTGCTATGCAACATGATCGTATGTTCCTGCGTGTTGTAGTAATTTTTACCGGAGTTAAATCAAAAGATTCGACACCGGGTCGTGTCTCTCGAGGAAGGTCAGCCGGATTATTTTGTACGATTATTCAAACACAAAAATGGAAAATAAAAGAAGTGAAAATCCTAAACATTCTAAATCAAGTTTGGAGGTTTGTTTATCGTCTACTAATTGAAAAGCAAGTAATTGAAAAGGCTAGACAAAACTAGGAATCACAAACTCAATATATGATAAAGGAGCTAGGGTATCGGGGTCGATCAATTCCGGTTCTCAATACACTTAATGAGCAATCAAGAGCTCGGTTAAATGCCTCGCTAAACTACTCATCTAGAGGTCTATCCTCAATAACTCTTCGTAACAAGGGGATAGGCATTAATGAGTAATTCTTGAAGCAATCAACACATAAGCAATACTATTACGAACAAGCTTATTTCTAACGAGCCTAGATCGAACGATTTCTCCCTTTTCAGTTTTAAAATCGATTAAATAGATTAAGATGGTGATCAATCATCAAAACCCTAGGCTAAGCACAACTCGAGAGGATTGAGCAATTATCATGCATATAAACGAAATCAAACCGGAACGATCTTCCCCTAACCCTAGCTAAAGGATTTAGCTACTCATAATGCATTCAACTTCAACAAATACAATAATCAAAGCAATTCAATCAATAATAAAACGAAATGAAAGCTTACGATTAAGGAATCCAATGTTGAAGACACGAATAACCGAATCCAAAAGCTTAATCTTGGTGTTTTCACAATCCAAGATCAAATCCTAATCAAAACTAAGAGAAATATCTGTTTTGGAGTGAATAAAAACGAGAGAGAGTCAAAACCTAGGTCCAAAGATTATGAAAAACTGAACAGAATCGCAAAATAAAAAAAACTGCTGTCGCGACCCCCGCGGCCGCGACTTAGCCCTCCGCGGCCGCGGCGAAGAACATCTCGCGGCCGCGACCGTCTCCGAGGCCGCGAGTTCGACGGGCCAGAAACACTAATTTTCAGGCATCTCGCGGCCGCGACTTCCTCTTCTCTGCGGCCGCGGTGAAGGATTTCTGCACGTTGTGTTTTCGGGTTCGTCTTCTCGCATCTGGACTCGGAATTTAATCCCGTCTTCTCCAATACGACCCCAACTCATCCATCTAGACGGTAA